ACCATTATATGGGGTGGACTTGCACAAACAATTTTCTGTCTTAGGTTGTAGTTTTCATTACGAACTCAAACACCAAATATGAAACAATTCTGGTGAATAATGTCGCTAAAATCATGATAATACCGAATATCGGGAGGTACCGTTATGTGGGGGCTATACGAAAACGTGGACCTACATGGCCCAGTTGCAATACCTAAAGTTCCGCAGGCATAATATACATTTGGGTAAAATTTTATCAATCTGCTTCTATTCGTTCGGAAGCTAGAGTGATTTCCACAGATGGACAGACTGATAGGCGAACAGACGGACGAACTGCTGATCAAGAATATATGCACTTTGTAGGGTCTAAAATGTATACCCTCCATACTATGGTGGAGGGTATAAAAAGAAGGTAAGTTCGGCCGAGCCAAAATTTCAATGCCATCCACCAATTTTAAGGATCTTTACAATTTTCAAAAAAATCCGTCGAAAAATACCACTTAAATGAAAACCGTTATATGGGGAGTTTTGCGAAGACTTGCATATTTTTTTCGTCATAGACTTATTACCGATTCCAAACTTCAAATACGAAATTTGAAACAATTCCGGTGAATAATGTTGCTTATATCATCAAAAATCGAATAAAGGGTCGAATATGTGGGCTATACGTGGATATGTGGACCTGCGTAGACGATTTTCCGTCATAGGTTGTAGTACTCATTACTAGCTTTAAGCACGAAATTTGAAACGATTCCGGTCAAAATGTGGCGAAAATCATCAAAATACCGAATATCGTGAGGTACCGTTATATGAGGGATATACGATATCGTGAACCTATATGGACAATTCTCTTCCAAGGGGTAAAGTACTCAGAATGAACTCCTTGTGTGTGGAAAAATGTAACTAAAATAATGAAAATACCGAAAAGCTGTTGGTACCGTTATATGGGAAATGTATGATATCGTTGAACGATATCCACAATATGTGGACCGAACATCTTCGAACTTGAACCGCCTGCACACAAAAGACTGATCTGTACAATATTTTAGCCTTAATTCGTCCTGACTCTAGAGTGATTACAAAAGACGAACGGACAGAACTATATATTCTTAGAATTTTACGCTGACCAAGAATATATATGCATTTTAGGTCTACAATTGTTATTTCGATGAGTTACAAACGGAATAACGACCTTAATATACCGTCCATACTATGTATGGTGGAGGGTATAAACAAATGTTATGTGGCGGACCATGTATGAATAAATTTATCATGTGTAAGGTAACTATTTTCTATATGTATTGAAATTAGTCTTTCAATTTGTAATTTGCTGGTGAAATCACACATAAATTCACTTTATATACAGAGTGAGATAAAAAAACTGCAAAAAGGTAAAACGCTATAATTTTTACATTTTTATTTTATTTTATTGAATGAAAGCAAAAATTTTCGGAAATAGTATCAAATTTTTGAATAGGTTTAGATTTTTTTTGAATTGATCACCTTTGGAACGAATTATGGCCGTCAAACGGCCAATGAAACCGTCGCACGCTGCTCGAATGTTGCTCTGCGCTATTTTGGCCCTTGCTTGATGTGATCTACACTTTGGTATTTTTCAGTGCCAACCTTGCTTTTCAAAATACTCCACACACAATAGTCCATCGAATTGGTATACAAAGATTTTGGTGGCCATTGTGCGCTGGAAATGAAGCGAGGAACCACATTTTATAACCATTCTTGGATGGCGCGTGTTGAGGGCGATGGTGCTGAGTCCTGTTGGAATGTCCAAGGTCTGCGGCCAAAATGTTTGCGTGTACAAGGCATACACCCTCCAGAATATCTTCGCGATAATATTCGGCATTTATTCTGTTGCCACGGTCGATTAATACGAGAGGAGAGCGACGATCGGCTGTTATGGCAGTCAACACCATCACCATGGCCGGTGCTTGAGTTCTTACGTTGGCCGAAGGTGCATATTTTCAGCTGACCTCTTTGGCAAGTTTACATGATCATTTTGTTTGTTTACGAACTGCTGGACAATGAATGTTTTCTCATCGGACTGAACCAAATTCGGCAGTTTATTACTTTCGGCCAAGCGAAGCTGTTGCGGTGTAAGTTCTTGTACTTTTTGGAATTTGAATGGCTTTACCCCGAGCTTATTTTTCAATATTTGCCGAATGAATTATTGTAATATGTTCAGCTCACGAGCCATTTTTCGGCCACTGCGAAGCGGGTTTCGATCAAGTCGCTTCTTTATTTTTCGAACCATTCTGCTGATGTTGCTATTTTCTTCCGTCCACTTCCTTGACGTCAGGTCGCTACCAATATCACGGTAACAAGCGATGGTACGAGACACAAAAGATTTATTCACATTTAAATGCTGGAGTTCTCTAACGATAGCCACTTGTGGCTTTCCAGCCAAATATAAAGGCATCACACTATCACGCTTGAATTCCATCACTAATAACTTTTTCTCATTTCATTATTTACGCTTGTAAATAATATAATGAACTGTCACTGGAATAATTTTAACAGATGTCGAACGAGTGACTTAGAAATGACTGCAGTCTGAAGTTGGTTGCAGTTTTTTCATCTCACCCTATATATAAAAAATAATTGTTGTTCGTTTGTAATTGAATCAGTTGAGAACAGCTGGACTGACTTGCATAATGGTTTTGACAAACGTTCGTCATACCCCGAGTTAGGTTTTTATAGAAAGAAATTTTGACCACTCCCACTTTAGCGTCCACTATATCGATATATCTAAAATCCTTATATTTACCAATAATGAAAATATCGGTTTGAAAATTATTAAACGATCTCCTCCAATCTCCAACCTCTAATATCTAATTTCGGTTATTTGTAATTACAGTGGAAAGGTTTTACGAAAGAAAATATTTGAAAAGCCTCTACAAAAGTCGCGAAACTGATAAATCGAAAGTTGTTTTTTGATATGGAATTTTGTGTAGAATTATTTCAGTCCGCCATTGAAAATTACTTTTTACATTTTTTATATATGTCGTTATAAGGTAGCCATGCCAAAAATTTAATTTTTGATTAGAAAATACTTCTTAAAGCACTTAACATCTAAACGTACTTTTAAGTTGTGGCTATGCCTAATGCCTAATGGGGAACCAATAGTTAACAGCTATTGCCGGTATAGATTTCACAATACTGAAAATTACAGTTAATACGATAGAAATGTTAACAAAAACAAGCAGAAGGGCGAGATATAGATCTTCCAATCATCATAGGAATATTATGTAAAGGTTTTAGAATACATGAAGTTGATAAAACTAAATACCTTACAATATGGTCTCCTAAAAGTTACGAATTCAAAATTACTTTTGTTTTGGAAAATGTTGCTAAGACCTTTAAATAATACTAACAACTGAGGTTTGAAAATTTAAATAAAAACAAGTAAGCAAAGGCTATAGTCGTGCGGGACCGACCATGTGATACCCTACAACACTACAATTTATTCGAAGTCCGCCTATGTCTAAATCCTTTTTGGAAGATTTCTTTTTTGTAATAATGTCAAATATAATGCCCCTGTCACTAACTCTCTTCTAATGCCAAATTCCGTGTCGATTAGTTTTTAATTGTTATCTATGCAGCGACTATGCATATAATACCTTCAAAACGTAGTTTTGCAGGGTGTAAAAATGTAAAAAAATACAATTTAAAATTGTAAGTCAAATTGAAGAAATCGCATGCCATAAAAAAATGACAAAAATTGAAAAAAAGGAACAAAAGATATTCACCTTATCCGTTTCTGGAAAGAGAACTTTCCGAATTGATGGGAGTTGTGAAAATCGGCCCAGCGGTTCTTGACTTATAAGTAGAACAAATAAGATCTATTCTTTTACATATATATTGTACCTATTTTGCTATATATCCGATTTTTTGGCTATCAGCATCACTTTAATGGTCAGAAGTGACCTTTTAATATATTTGTGATTTGGCTGGCATTAAAAATATTTGCGGTTTTGTGAAAATTTTATTATTTCATTGCATAATAGTTAGGGTCTATTTTACCCACTATAAATTGTCCGATGGCCGCCCAAATTGGTTGACTCTGCCTAGTCCTAAACTCTAACTCCATGTAAATTTCGATTGGTTCATAATTGTGGCTTATAAAGCAACTGCAAAACCAGGAAATTTTTCTGTTTTTGGTCCATTTCAACCCCTAAATATTGTGCAATCATCTCCAAAAACAATAGGGTTCTATTCTGACCCCAATCCCACCTCCATTTTCTATTTCGTGAGGATCGGGCCATAATTGCGACCTGTAGCTTGATTACAAATTAACATGGACAGACGGACGGACGGACATACATAGCTGCATCGACTCATCTCGACGAGATAGTAAGATCCATATATACTTTCCTATGTGGGAAATCAATATTTCGAGGTGTTACATAATTTTTGGCCCAATCAAACCTATACATAGTGTTTTAGGATATAAATATGATATAACCAATACAAAGAGGTACCTGTGGATAGGAAATAAATCATTAAGTGGACCGTTGCTTCAATTTTTTCGACAAAGAATTTATAGCTTCGAAAATTCTATTGAATCCTTCAAAATACCTCAAATAGGCAGGTTATATGGGTAGTTGTGGGTGGCTATGTGTCTATCTACATTGACATTTTTTTGTAATTAATGTTTAATTCAATTTAAAAATTACTTTAGATTCTGAGGACAAAACATCGAAAATAAATATATTGTATATTCAAAATTTCCTCCATTTATCACAAATATTATTATTAGAAATGGGTTGAAATGAATACAACAATAAACCACAAAACCATAAGGAAAACATCAAAATAACATCTACGTTTACGACTTATATTGAGTTCCTAAAATTATGCATTAAATACTAGAACTGTGGGCCAGCAGCGGGTTCGGGGTTAGCTAGTAAGGTATACATATCGTGTAGATCTGCCGGCAAACCCCGATTTCATTGTGTACTTACCGTTTTTAACATAAATCGAAAATCAACCCAAGACATCTATAATTTTTAATGATTTTTGTTTATTTTATTTTTCTCATAAAATATGTTTTGTTTTTTTTAATACACATAGAATGTTTATATATTTTTGTATGTATATATGTAAGGCTAAAATTATATAATGATCAATTAATAATAATACATAAACGACGACTGAAACAGTTGATAATAATAATAATAATTATATTTTATTTTAATTATAATATTTATTTTATGAATTGTTTGTTTTTTTTTTTTTTTGTTTGAAGCATATAAAAATATGCATTGCATGAAGTCTATGTTGCTATAAAAATTAAAGAAAAAAAACTTAAAAACAAAACATAATCTGAATGGAATACATTTATATGGACATGGTAAGTGAGAATTTAAATTATAAGAAAAAATAATTAAATAAAATAATAATGACAAGTTTGTTTGTTGGATGCCTAAAGAGTTTTTTAGTATTTTCTTTTTTTCGTTTTGAAAAACTTTCCTAAGAATGGGGAAATTAATTATTTTCGTTTGCTGTGATTTGATTCAATAGCGCGTTACTTTTAATAGTTAATATTGCAATGATTTCGTTTATATTGCTTTTGTTGTTATTATTAGAAAGAAGTTAATATAGAAATTGTGTGTGTGTGTGATTTTCAATTATATATTATGAGATTATTTGTATTTTATTAATTAATTTGATTTTTTTCTTTTTTGATTATAATTGAATTGAAGTTTCTTGAGATGATAGTCTGTTTGCTGGGTTTCAATTACATTCTACGAAAAGTGGCAGCAATGTGGATGGGGATATACCAAAAATACCAACAAATGACGAACTTTCAGTATGGCCAAATTTCTTAGTTTTCAAAAAGGCTATCAAATTTATCTGGCCATATTTTGGTACACCCTGTGTTTTGTATGGGAAATCGTATTTAATATATGCTCATAATTTAAATTTTCGAAAATAAAATTATCAATTAATTTTGAATGACATACCCCTGAAACTTATGTAACTGTCTATACAAAAAATTAAAAAAAAAAAAAAAAAAAACATATTCACTTAAGCAAATCCTAAAATATTAAAACTTATCTATTTAGCTCAGCATTAAAAAAACAAATTGTTTTTGTTTACTACTCTAACATCTAAGACAATGACAGAATTCCTATACATTCTTTTAGAGTTTTCTGTTTTGCTTTTGTTGTAATAAAAAAAAAAATATTAAAATAAAATCACAATTTTCAAGACTTGATAAATGTTAATGAGAATTCACTTTTTTTTGTTAAGCATTTTTTATGTCGTTTTATTAGCTTTTGTTTTTTTTGCTTTACTTTCATAAGCGAGGAAATCCAACAACTTCTGTGTAAGTCTATTTTTTGTCAGTTTTCATCTACAGACTTAAGACGAAATTGTGATTTCCTCATTTCGTTTGAATTTTTATTTCTTTTTTATTTTTTGTTTTGTTAATTTAACTTTTCCGCTTTTCTCCAATATGAAATATTTTTTCTTAGAGAAATATTTAAATGGATTTTCAATTGCAAGCTTAATAAAAACAAGCTTAATCGCATAATTGTAGTTAGTAATTGTAATGAGGGCATAATGGCTATGAGGGGTGGGTGGCGAGGGAGGGAGGTAAGGGGGATCGCAATCTATATTTATACAGACATACAAATATTATTCGTTATTTATTTTAAATAAAAGGCACATTTACTTTTTTCTTGTTAAAACAAAACAATTAAAGCTTTCATCAATTTGATCTAAGTAATTTTGGAACACAAATCTTGTGGATAATTTAAATTCATGCTTTCGTTCTGATGTTCGGAATTTTAAAATAAAATATTTTTGCTGCTTCCACTGCCAGACTGAGGTTTCCATGGAAATGTTATTCAAAAGATCTGCAAGGGAAGAGAAGAAAATAATACAAAATGTTAATTAACGTGGGTGAAAAGAGAGGACAAGAAATTTATTCTTAAAATTATTTTATGTTTGAATCAGTTTAATTATATTATCGTCGGAAAAGAATTGAATAAAATACAAGTAAAAAATTTGTATTCCCTCCACCATGTGCAACGAATTTGGGAATTTTCAAAAAAAAAAAAATAAAATAAATAAATAAAATCCGTTAAAAATACTCTTAAAATCTTAAAAATACCGAATATAGCCGTTATATTAAGGTTTATACGAAGACGTGGAACTGCATAGGCAAGATTTGTCATAAGCCATTACAATATTCAAATGCGAAACTTGAAAAAAATTGAGCGAATAATGCAGTTAAAATCATCAAAAAAATGTAGGAAAATAATTATGTGGGTGCTATACCAAAACGTGGACCTGCACAGACAATTTTCTGTCATAGGCTGTTGTACCCATTACGAACTTTAAAAACAAAATTTGAAACAATTCCGATGAATAATATCGCTAAAATCATCAAACTAACGAATATCGGAGGGAACCGTTATATGGAGGCTATACGAAGACATGGACCTGTACAGACAATTTTCTGTTTTTGACTATAGTATCCATTACGAACTTTAAATACCAAAGTTGAAACAATTCCGATGAATAATGAAATCATCAATTACCGAATACCGGGAGTTGTCGTTATATGGGGGTTATACCAAAACGTGGACCTACATTTTCAATACCAAAAGTCCTGCAAACATAATATACATTTGAGTGAAATTTCATGAACCTACTTGATTTCGTTCGGAAACTAGAGTCCGTAAGGTTACGAAAACTTCTAAAATGGTATCAAACTTCTAAAATTGTACCATTTGGTATTATGTGAACGGATAGTCCTAAAAACTTGAAATTTGGAATGACAATCAAGTAATGAGGATGTAAGGAGGTTACGGTCGATGTAAGGAGGTTGTTTTGGAAGTGTGTACTCAAATATACGAGCATTACAAGCCGGTACTACCTCTAGTATAATTTCAATTTGGAGGAACGGTTTGAGTTGGAATCCTGAAATTTGAAATTGACATTAATGGGGGAGTGTAGAATTGTGATATGGAGGTAGCTTTCGAAATTTGCACTTATGTGCTGAAATTTGGGTCGAATCCTGCATTTACTATGGGAAATTCGTACTTATTTGGAAATTCGTACTTATTTGTACAAAACGGTACTAAATTTGGTACAATTAGGATTGGGTGAACCTATGGAGCGGGAGTCCAGAAATTTTGAATTATTTGTGGAAATAAGAGTACAAAAAGTAATAAATGGTAAAAAATTTTGTATCAATTGTACGGATAGAGTTAGATTTCTGAATTTTGATGTTGGGGTCAGAATTAGTGTGTAGTGTTGAGATATGGAGGGGATTTTGAACATTGCAACCGTAGATGTACGAAAGGTACAATATGGTACTAAAATTTGGAGTGTAGTTATAAAGTTATATATGTATAACTATATATATATATATATATATATATATATATATATATATATATATATATATATATATATTTAAAAATGGTACCATTTTGTATTACGTGAACGAATAAATCTATAAATTTGAAATTTGCTATGAGAATCAAGATTTGGAAAGTAAATTTGATATATGAAGGTGATTTTGGAAATGTGTACTAAGTGTGCGAACTGTGCTAAATGGTACTAAATTTCTGTTTGGCTTATAGTGAACGGATGTAGCTGGAATTTTGAAATTTTATATTGGGGTCCCAGGTGGTTTGTTTGTCAGTACGAATAGTACTAAATAGTACTATGTGTGGTACTATTTGGCATTTAGGTAACATATAGTGCTTGAAATCGGAAAATTTGTATTAGGACCGTCGCCGAAAGTACCAAATGGTGCTAAATTTCACAAACTAAAATTCTGAAATTTAATATTTAGATTACTATTGGTATCTGAGGTTGAGATTTGGAGGTGGTTTTGCAAATAAGTACTATAATTAGTCGAAAAGTACTAAATGGTAATAATTTTGGATCAGTTTTGGTGTCTACACAATTTTGATTAAAACATTTTACCAAACTGAACAAATTGCGCATTTTGAGTAGTAAAAAAAATTCGAACTGGTGAAACGAATCTAGAATTTTCAGGTGTACTTTTCGCTGACGAAGTAGCGGCCACTTGCTCGATTCTTTATAACAAAATAAGTTAATTATAACCCAACAAACATGTCTTTATTCCTGAAATTCAGACATTTAACAAATTTTAAAGGATTTTATTTGATCCGACCAAACTTAGCTTAGTTATTTATCCATTTATTTAAAATTTTGGATAATACTATCAAGTCTCAACTAGTAGAAAGTCTACAAAGGTTTCAACAAATCGATTCACATCTAGCTATACCTCCTTTTCAAGTTTATGATAATCTCCCTCATCAATAGACTTGTATTCTGACCTGAACGATGGCGCGATTACAAATAAGCATGGACAGACAGACACACAAAGCAATGTCCATATATAATATCGTGGGTCTTGGGTTATTTTTTCTCGGTGTTACAAACTTTTTGGCCCAATCAAAATTATAATTCCCTCAAAACATAATGTTGTAGGGTATACTAATCTTGGAAAACATCGAGCCGAACTTAACATTATAATCCAGAATAGAATCCTATTTCCAAGTACTAAGTTATCCCAATTATTTTATATAAAAAAGCGAAAATTCCAGAAAATTCTGGCTCTCTCACACAAATAGGATTTCTGTTACCATATCTTGACCGCCTTGGGAAAGTCTATCGCTACAAAATTTATGTTTTTTATAACACATGGAGCTTTTGATTTAGCTATACTTTAAAATTTTTCAAATGTCATAGGGGATAACATAACTACCATTGTCCGTTTTCCGCTCTTCCATTTAGTGCGTTCAAAATTATCCTTGCAAAATTAATCCCAACATTCCAGTATATACCCTTCCCCCTCAAATCCCTGAACATGATTTATTTCCCAGTTCCGCCATCTGAAATCTTTGAGAATGACTTGAAAAATGTTAAATATTTATTTCCTTTTCGACACATAATAAAACGGCTCAATTAGGGGAGATGGGAATAAAGTAAAACAAAAGACCTAAGACACGAACTTCATTTTCATTTCTTTGAAAAATTAAAGTAATTTCTTTCTCGACTCCATTTACTTTGCCACGGTACGAGGAAGTATTCTTCATTTGCTAGAGTTTATCTTATTGTTGTAGTTGTTGTTGCTGTTTTTCTGGTGACTTCAAAACAAACTGCAGCAACAACAGCAACGACAACAACATTGCTAATATGTTAACATTTGCCATTCCATGCGATCGTTGCATCCCACCATCAACAACTCAAGTCAACTCAACTCAACCAACCAACTAGCCAAACCGACATTCAGTCAGTTGTGGAAGTGCAAGAATAAAAATAGAAACAAAATTAATGGCAAAGCATCTCAACTCATTTGCGTTCTGTTCGAAAAAAGGAAAAACAAATAGAAAATCGGGACAATGAGACACGATTCAATTTGCAAAAAAAAAAATGTTCAATTTCAATATTCTTCTTCGTCGCAAGTCTTTTACTTTTCCGCAATGAGTTGGTGTGAGTGAGTTCGATTTACTTTTGTGTCATTTTATTTATATACTGACTCTGCGAATCGTGAAGAAGTAAATAATTGATAGCCGTGCAAATGTGAAACAAGTATGAGGTCTTATTTCCCAATGTAAATATGAGAAGAATTCTTAGTGAGGTTTTAATTTTTAGTGTTGTTGTGGGAATTTTGGGAAAGTTTAATATTTATCTGAAAAAGCAACTGGCTAAGCATATAATTGTTATCTCAATTGCAGATTCCAACGGAGAGCTTTATATCAAATTTCGGGATTTCAGCAATAGCCATATCTTAAGCACATACACCAATAGTTACATCTATATCAAATTTCAGAATTGTATCTATATCCCTCCACCAGATACCAAATATAGAACTATTCAGCACTTTCTTTATATTTATAGAACACCACCTCCATATTACAATTGCAAATACAAACAGAGTCCTCAATGGCTGCTGTTTCCTTCCTCCTAATACAGCGATGCTACTTGGAAACGGATCCAACCGGTTTCGAAATGCAATTTGCCCCCACGAGCTTGAAGATAGTCCTGGCCATCCGTATCAATAGTTAGCTTGATAACCGGGCCACCCCTCAGTGCTTGAACTGGCGATACACCAGTTGTCTGTTCTAAGGTTGGGGTTTTGTTTGCCGAGTATCGTCAGAATGCGTGCCGGATCCACCGATGGTGGTGGCACCTACGCTGTCAATACTTTACGGCAGGGGATCTCTTTCAAGGATACAACCGCCAAGTTGCACCCTTTCGAAAGCTCGTAAGCCAGCTACTGAGGTGACCAGAAATTCTTTACATTCCTCGTTTTCACAGCAGATGACTTTCACGCCCTTGTAAAGGATTGTGCTGCCAAACTGCAACCTCTTTGGATCTCCTTCACCCACAAAGACCAGTTCCCTCAGACGATCTTCGATGAGCAGCCATAGACTCTCGGTGATTTTACCTTCTGGTTCAGCTTTATTGATGACCGCTACTCGAAGATTGTCTGGGTGGATGGTCTGGGATACTTCCTCTTCCGTCCTGTTTGGCTTGCCGATTGTGGGTTGACCGCTTCCTTGTGGCTCTTTACAGGCTCTGAGCTTGTAGGGGCTACCGGAGTCGGTTGGGTTACAATATGTCTTCTTGGCCTCCGGGTGCGATTCCTCCGTAGACCGACCTCTCTTCAACACTCAGCGTGAAGGGCTCTGCCTTCCTTGCCTTACTTCTCCTGCGCTTCTTGGCAGGAGGATGTGACTCAGCGGAGTCAGCATCCACCTCCGCCGTAGGAGCGGCTATCGGAGTAGTCGCATTGTCAGTGATGGGTTTGCTGACCACCACAGGGTCCTCAACGATAACAGATGATAGGAAAGCTAGAGCAACCTGATCAAGAAAGCAACTCGGTAGTTGCGGGTGGTTCTTTTGGAACTTTTTGGCTACCCTGAGGTTTATCTTGATCAGGATACTCTCTCTCTCTCTCCCTCTCAGTAATCTGTGTGAGGTCCCGGCCGATAAATTTCTTACAGAACTTTAGCGACCTTTTGTAACCCGTTTTGTTTTCGCCTCTTTCGGGTCGGAGGCTTGAGGCATCCGAAACGGCCGACGAAGATCCCTCCTCTTGTTGAGATTTCGCACAAGCCTCATGGCTAGCGTTCTCTATGTCTTTTTGAAGTGCCTCTCCTCTTCCAGACAAGGGAATGACAGTGATATCAAGTTCCTCATCAGAAAGGGGTGATTCATTTCCAGAGGAAACACTCTTCTGACTGAGTCTCAGTGTCTTAGTCTTCTCTAGGAGGGCAGATAATTGTTCACTCTGCTGGTGAATACGGTCATGGATAACGTCACTGTAAGTCTGGATCGTATCGTCCCCTCCCGAATTTATACTCGTGTCCTTTGAACGGTCCTGGGTGGTTGCATTGGTAGTTGTTGGGGTTTTTAGGTTTGTTTTATTGAAATTTTTCTTATACATATAAATCTCGGACTTTGGAGGAGACGAGGTTCGCCATGGCACAACCTCCCTACCATGGTAAGGACTTGGCATCTAAGCCTGCTACTCACTGCGGCGCCCAGGGGCAACCGTTCGCACATAGTCGGTACCATGGCTGCAAACCGAGGAACACTGATGGGCACGGTTTACGTAACACCACAGCATTAGGCAGTTTTTTATCTCGGTAGACCAACACCGATCGCTGGTTATTTAGAGGGGCCAGCTATTCGCCCGTCGAACCAAGGATCACGGGCACTCGGATATTTGTTCCGTGACTCTCTCCCTGGTACCGCTGAGCTGTCCGCGACTGCTTATTTAATTCGCAGCTACCGAGAATATCTATTAGGCGTTTCACTATCCGCAACCTGTGGACGCGTCCGGTAGCATACAGCTATGCTTCCGCAAACGGACCTTTGGTACATCCATTGTACACTCCATCATTTCAAAATTTAAGAGCTCTAGAGGTTCGTCAAATATTTAATACATTTTAGTACTTTTCGTACCCTTCCAGTACGAATTTCCGAAATCCCAGCCTGATGTGACACCTTCGGACCAAGGGTGACTCTTTCAAGATTCTAGCTTCAGTCGTGTCGTCTGTCGTTGATGTCAATAACTTTGCTATTTTATTAACTTATATAGTATAAATTTATAACGGTTTGGTTCTATCCGTTTTCTCAATACAAGTGGCGAAATATTTGGGACCATTTAGTGATTTTCTTATATTCATCGCACGATTTTCCAAAAATTTATTCGCAAAGGGAAAGGGGACTCTCAACAAATCAACACATCACATGTCTAGCTTGTAGTACATGCCTTTAGTACATGACACGTTTCGTACGGGGCTATACCAAAACCTACACGACCCATTTTCAATACCAAAAGTCCTGTAGACAAAATATACATTTGAGTAAAATTTTATCAACTACTTAATTTCGTTCGGAAGCTAGAGTGATTTCCACAGACGGATAGACGCACATCGCTAAATCGACATAGAATTTTATTCTGATCATGAATATATATTTTTATGGGGTCTAGAATGTATATTTCGAGGTGTTACAAACGGAATGACAAACATATTATACCCTCCATACTATGGTGGAGGGTATGAAAGTAAAGGTAATCATCTATGCCAATGACCACCGGTGGCAGAATTTTAAACACCTTCCAACTACTTCAGATCTGATGTAAAGTGTACCAGCTATCAACTTTGTCCATAACAGTGGTTTAGGAGTAAACCCTGCTAAGAACGAACTAGCATTATTATTAGTAATGGGAGTCCCAAAAAGGACGCAATTTTTAAATTGGGCGCCATTCCCTTCATATCCTCATTCTATCTACTTTACGATTTAATAAAGTATCACAATTTTTTTAATCAGGGCTGTCATAGAAACCAATTTTGTCACTATTGGTTATTAAAAATTGCCCAGTGGTTGGGACTACCTTTAGGTGTAAGTGATAGTTTGTGATTACGAGTACATATCCAACTGTAGTCACAAAATCTCAGTAATACCTGATAGGTAGCGATGTCATATTCACTAAATGGTGCTTGTAGCGTTATTTAGACATATAGATATATATTCTCGAATCAAGAAGGCAGTCGAAATGTTATGAGAACTTGAACAATAGTATAAGGGCTATCTAAGGGCTATTGAGTCTCCTGTGAAGCTGATATCCAGTGTCGCACACTGTGGAATTTCCCCCTTCCTTGTCCGAGTATCGAAGTGACTTTGACTGACATGTATATAAGTCTTGGATGGCGCTATTGAAAATGCCCCTACCCTCTGCAAAAACCTCTCAATATGAGAATATGAGACAACGATTTATTCTCTCCCAATGTCTTGTAGGTCATAAACATCGGATATTTTTTGTAGTATTACTGTCATATTTTTATGTGTTCTCACATAAAACACTCATTTAATTTTATAATATTTTTTCATTTATATTATTCTTTTTTACCTCTCTCCCTCGCTAAGAATAAAATAGGCTTCAACAAAATGCCAATAAAGATCGCGCATAAAGAAAGAACAAGCGCGATTTAAATATGTTCGCCATTATAATTTAATGATGGGTAATAATTCATAGATCAAAATCAACACCTCTGTAGTTTTTGTTGTTGCTATGTTTTTTCCGTTAACGATGACGACAATAACAGCAACAACAAAAAGTTTATTGGTAGTTTAGTTTATTGGCTGGGGCCCAGCAGCACCACCACATGGGGCCGATAGAAGATGATTCACTTCTCCTAGGAATCTTGGGGTTTTTGTTCGTTCCTAATCTCTGGCCGTCATTAGTTTGGTGTTGCTGTTGTTGTTTGAGTTTTCAGTTAAATGCTTGCAAATTTACTCACCTTATAAATATGCACTGAAGTAATTCCTTCCTTCCTTGCTTCGTTCATTTATTCTGTTTTCTGCGAACACTTAGACACTGATGTTTTCAAAAATGCTGGTGTTGATGTTGTGGTGCTGGTGCTGGTTGGCGCTGTTAATGATGGCAGTATTTGGTAGAATAACAAAAGCACAAGAATATGAAGAATAGGAAGAGGGGTAGGTCAAAGAATTAGAAGTATTTCTAGATGCTACAGCGGGGTTAGGCTAAACGATGATGGCGATGATGACAATGATGAGGTGGTGGTAAAGCTCCAAAGCTGAGGCTAATAATGGTGATCTGTTGTAACGATGAGTAGGCGTTATAGGCCCGTATGCTGGGATTGGGTCGTTGTTGTTTGCCCATTTTATTTCCATCGTTTTGTTTTTCTCTCGTTTTGGGTTAATGAACAGGCCAACAGCGAACCTTATGATGACAAACGTACTCCCAGCAATGCCTGATTGACAGTTTTTTTGTTTTGTTTTCAAGCTAAAATTCTAAACATTGCCGACATGCAATTGCAATATATCTGTCGCCGCCGTCGCCGTCTGACTACAAGTACAGTGTCGCCTGCTGACGATGGTCGAAGTGATGAATGTAGAGTTTCTTTTTGGACTTTTCTTTGGATGGCCTTAGATCCCAGACTAAATTCGATAAACTACGAGGCCTCGACAGACGTCTCGTCTTCTTTTCGGGCAATTTATTGGAGTCGCCCGAGGTGCGTCCACCGCTGCGCGATGAATCGAGGGTGCCTTCACGCGGATTGTGGGGGTGTGAGGAGTGCAGCATACCCGTCAGACCGCCAGTTGTACTGGAGCTTTTACTCAAGGGCAGCGGTGCTGGATGGCAGTTGATGTTGTTGTTGCTGTTGCTACTACATTTAAGTACTAGATCGGGTGGTGCGACTATGGATTGACCTTTGGGATTGGTTGAGATCGGCGGTGAAATGGAGGTGCTATCGGGTGTCAATTGCAGACTACTGAGACTTTTGTAACTAAAAAAAAAACAAAATAAAATAAAATTATTTAAAATATAATGCATGATTTGTGATAGGAAAAATATATGTGATTTTCTGTCGGTTCGGTCTGTTGAAAATGTGATAGAAGTATTCAGTATTGGTCTACTATTTGACGTAAGTTCAATACCGCACATAATATCCTAAACTTATTACAAGGAAATCTAAAAATTTCCCTTTGTATTACCAGTAGACTACAAAGTAATATTTTATAGAAAATATATGAGTAACAGTGGTCGCCAAGGTTGTAAATCCAAGGTTGTAAATTCGATACTTAATTCTTAATATCAGCAAACAAAATGTTCGTAACCAAGGCAAACAAAAATAAACAGAAGCCCATGACCACAGAATTGCTTCTTGTTTCACGTGAAATGACCTTTTAATATAATGGGTTATAGGTTACTTAGAAATTTGACATGTTTTCGATCAATTTGGGGGAATACTGGCTTTAGGATTTTAAACATTCTACGCAGATGCTTAAACACGATGTGGTTGCAATTTATAATTTTAGATGGTGCATGGAAATTTTTTCAACTAAAGGTCCAGCCGTTGGAGTTGTTATCAATTATTGCTATTTTGAGGGTCCTAGCCATAGTGTCCAACTGCATATTAAGTTCGTAATGGCCATTTCACAAGTTTTGGCATAATTTTCAAGAAATTTAACGGATTTTAACCTATAATTCAAATTTTTTCATTGAAGATCCTCTTTTATAGAAAAAATTCTTCCAACTATGGCATATATCTGAAATATATTCTATAGATCTGTAGATTATCTTTTATGGGCCTAATATTTTAATTCGATATAAAGACATTTTATTTCTAGAATATTAGACATTTTAGATCGATTTTTTATATTGGATATCTAAAGAAGTGTTCGATCTATTTTAGAGGGTCATACATATAAGATAGAATGTCTCTGTGAGGTCACAAAGGTACGAACGCTTAACGAAAGTTCTACTAATTGCAGAAAGTTCCATGAAATGTCTCCCGGTTGAAGAATATCCCAAAAGAGTCCCTGACTAAAATCCCTACAAAATATATTTCATTTATATAAAACTTACGCAGAAAAGTCCTCCGAATTATCCGAAAAATTTTCATAAATATTGAGACATTTGAATTATTTTCACGTGGGAAATTTCTATAACGTATAACGTTTATAGAAAGTCCCTATGTGTCGAATGCTTCCTTTGGAGCTATAACAAGTAAAAAAGTAGTAAGTTCGGCTGGGACGAACTTTGAATACCCTCGACTATTTGGAAGAAATTTGCAAATTTTCAAAAAAAGAAACAGTAAAGAAAGTCTTAAAGTCGGGCGGGCCGACTTTATGATAATCTACATCACTTTGCTAATTTAGTAGAGCTCCGCATAACAATTAAAAGTTTTTATGGGAGAATTCCATCACACACGCTATGATTATAATTATAATTTAAAGTTCAAAGGACTAAATATGCCGAAGCATTTGTGTCTTTTAAATTCAGACATGTATTGCCCATTTGGTGCACAATTAATTTGAAATCGGATAAAGATATATATATGGGAGCTATATCCAAATCGGAACCGATCTCGATAAAATTTGGCAAATGTATTTCTAAGCTGTATTTGATATATTTGCCCAAATGTTGTTGTTACAGAGTGCATATTACGGCTGCGGAAGACAAAGATAACAAATCGGATGAACAATATATATGGGAGCTATAGCTTCAGAACCGATTTCGACCAAATTTGGCATACTTATTTTCAGGCCTAATTTGGTTGTATGTGCAAAACTCCATTCTATTCGGGCTTATATTACACGTTTGGTGCACAACAAAAGGCAAATCGGACGAAGATATATATGGAAGCTATATCTAAATTTTTATCGATTATCTCCAATTTCCATAGGGTTCATCCTTGGGCCAAACAAATGATTTGTGCAAAATTTCATCTGGATAGGGCAATAAATGCGAACTGTACTTTGTTTCCAAAAATACATGGACAGTCTGACGGACATGCATATATCGACTCAGAATGTGATTCTATGCAGATCATCAAAAGGAACTATGGGTCTATCTCGTTTCCTTTTGCTTGTTACAAACAAATACACAAAGACATAATACCACATAATACCAGCATTTAAATGTGAATAAATCTTTTGTGTCACGTACCATCGCTCGTTACTGTGATACTGGTAGCGTAGCCCGATGTCAAGGAAGTGGACGGAAGAAAACGGCAACATCAACAGAAATGTTTCGAAAAGTAAAGAAGCGACTTGATCGAACCCGCGTCGCAGTGACCCACAAATGGCTTGTGAGCTGAGCATGTCGCAATATCACATTCGGCAAATATTTAAAAATGAGTTCGGAGTAAAGCCATTGAAATTCCAATAAGTGCAAGAACTTACACCGCAACAGAAAGAAAATAGACTCAAAGGAGCTAAAGAGTTGCTTCGCATGGCCGAAAGAGAGAAAGAGAAAATATTCGCTGTCCAGCAGTTTGTAAACAAACAAAATGATCGTGTTTACTTGCCAATGAGGTCAGGTGAAAATGTACACCTTCCGTTGGCCAAAAGAACTCAAGCGCTGGCCATGGTGATGCTCGTGTTAATCGACCGTGGCATCAGATTAAATGCCGAATATTATCGCAAAAATATTCTGGAGGGTGTACTAAAGCCTTGGGCACGCAAACATTTTGCCCCAGACATTCCAACAGAACTCAGCACCATCACACATAGCACGAGCTACCCAAGAATGGTTACAAAGTGATGTCCCTCGCTTCATTTCCTGCGCACAATGCCAACCAAAATCTCCGGATACCAATCCGTTGGACTATTGTAAGTGAAGTATTTTGGAAGGGCTTCGCCGGGAATGGGCCAAAATACCGCAGATCAACATTCGGGCAGCGTATGACGGTTTCATTGGACGTTTGATGGCCATAATTCGTGCCAAAGGTGACCAATTCGAACAAAATCTAAACTTATTCTATAATTTGATGCTATTTCCGACATTTTTTGCTTTCATTCAAAAAAATTAAAAATAATGTAAAAATTATTGCGTTTGAGTTTGTTGCATTTTTTTTATCTCACCCTGTATATATGCTTTTCGAGGTCCCCAGTGATCCAATGCCAAAACGTACAATTCCAGCTCTTTGCCGACTGTATAAGTTTGTTTGGGCCAAAAATTATGTAACACCTCAAAATATTGGTGCCCGACATAGGAAACTACATATGGATCTTTCAATCTCGCCGAGCTGAGTCGTTCTAGGTATGTCCGTCCGTCTATCTATGTTAATATGTAGTTACGCTATAGGTCGCAAGGGCCCAATATTCATGAAATTGAAAATGGAAAATGGAGACGGCCATTGGACAATGTTTAGCGGGTAAAATATACCATATTTTTTTTGTCAAAAAATACGAAAATTTCCACTAAACCGCGGATATTTTTTATCCCGACCAAATCAAAAATACATTTACAGGTCACTTCCGACCATTACAGTGATGCATATAGCCAAAATATTGGAAATATAGATAAAATATATATGTAAAATAAATTGCTGTTAGTCGTTCCGCTTATAAATCAAGAACCGCTGGACTGATTTTCACAATTCTCATCAATTCGGAATGCTCTTTTGCCAGAAAAGGATAAAATCTAAGAAAATCGCGTAAAAAATGCCAACATAAAAGTGAATATTTTTTTGTTAATTTTTTAACAGAATTTTTGTCACTATATGTTGAGGGTATATTCAGGTCGCAGTCCGATCCTCACGCAATTTTGCATGGGGGTAGGGTTAGGGTCAGAATCTAAGCCTATTGTTTTTGAAGATTTACATTTAGGGGTTCAAATGGACCAAACAAAAAATAATAAATAAATAAATAAAAAATTAAATATTCCTGCAGTCGCTCCAGAGGTCATAATTGAAAACCAATCGACTCAGAATTTTTCAGGAGAAGAGAGTTAAGGACAGGGAAGAAGTCTAGCACTTTGGATGATCATAGGATTATATTTAGGTGTAAAATGGATTTCTTGCGAAATTGTAAACGACGGAGAGCGTAAATATTGGTCAAATGGTAACAAAATAGATTTGGTCACAAAGGGGCTTCCAACATATTGTAGTACTGTATCACATGGTCGGCCCCGCACGACTATAGCCTTTGCTAATTTGTTTTATACTAAATTTAGTACTATTCAGACTTACTTCCCAACTAAGTTTTTTTCTTCTATGTATGTGTCCAAAAGATCAAGGTACTAAATTAGTAGCCTTTAATATTTTGTACACTTTATATTTGAATTTTCTAGAGACCCTTTTGTGCATATATGCTACACTCCATCAATGACACCTAATTCCAAATTTTAGAAATTTATCTCTGTCCGTTAATTCAAATACATATGGAATCGAATTTTAATAACTTTTAATATGATCATGCACACAGCCAGAGATATATGTGGACGGAGAGACTTGCAAGGCTAGATCGACTTAAAAAGTCCTGAAACAGGTTTAGTTCAAAGAGACAAGACCCTATGTCTCTAAAGCATTATTTCTCTGAGTCACATTTTGGATGCATCAAATGATGTAACCTTGAGGGTATAAAAATTATCATTTTATTCCTCTTTAACACAGGAAAAGAATACTAACCGTAAGTATTGAAAAACTAATTATACTTAAAGAATATCTACACCTAGTGATGCTTTTCTACATAAAAATTACAGCTATAGATAATCTAACTACAGAATATCTGACGAATATAGAAGACCTCTAAAATATCTCTCGGGTGTAGAGGGCTTCTTAGCGATCTACTTTTGTCAGGTAATATTTGAGGGATCTTCTACCATCTACTTTTTACTCGCTTTAGTTCTTCGTATCTATTTATCTATCGAATATTAAATTAATATTCTCTCCTCAAAAAAACTATACTACAAATTCATATAAAAATATTTATATTAGCATTCTATATGTCTGTCCTACTCACCGAATGTGAAACAGTGGCGATTGCGGTTCCAGGCCACAATCCTTATTCAAAATGCCAGCACTTAACGGTGCTCCACCCACCACACCGTTCAGTGGGGAGTGATGATGATTGCTGGGTGTTAAGACGCGACCATTCGGATGGTGATGCGTATGATGATGGGCCGCCACAGCTGTCACAACGGCTGAAGACGCCGAGGCGTTAACATTCACCACCGCCGCCGACGCCTGATGACTATGATGATGGCTGTGATGTTGTTGATGATGTGAATGGTGGTGGCTACCATTGGAACTGCTTGTGTTGGTGTTGCCACCGCCCATGCCACCTCCACTGCTGCTACCAGCACTGTGGGTATTTTTCAAGTAAAGCTTTGGTAGTGTGGGTCGCTGTCGCTTTTCGGGCAATTTTTTACCCGGAATCGTCTCGATAGGTGGTGGCACTGGCTTAATGTCCTCCTGGACATGACTGTGTTGGTAATGATTGACTACATGACCGCTGGTGGGTGTCGGATGATTGTGAGAATGGTTCTGGTGGTGGTGATGATGGCCGCCGCCGCCACCGCCGACAACGGCCGGTGGTAGGTGATGTGAGTGCGAGTGATGATGGTGATGACTGTGATTGCTGCTGCTGTTGTGACTGCTGTTCGTGTTGGTGTGCTTGTTCGATTCTAGACTACTGTAATTGTTGTTGTTATTATTGTTGCTGCTGCTAATGTTGCCACCGCTGTTGTTTAAACTGTTGTTATTGCTATTCGAATTGTTGTTATTATTGTTGTTATGGCCATTTGAATTCGGGTTAACGCGTATCAGACTGCAATAGTTGCCGCTACTATCGGTATACTGTGACTTAATTGTGGGCGTCTCATTGATCGGCTCGAATCGCGACAGAGCCTTCGTCAGCGGAGCCAAACCGCGCACATAGTCATATATGTGATCGATGTCCTTATACTCTTCCGATATTTCGGCGGGTGGTTGATTTTTACTGTACGAATCACAGCTGGCACTACGTTTCAGAATATATCCATTCTCGAGCAAGCCATTGGCCACATATGCCACACCGGCCGCTGATGGCAACATAACCACGGGTAATTTGTTACGGTTACTAAATTTCGAGTCCTTTTTCTCCTTTTCGGACAGCTTAATGTCGACGACTTGCAAACGATCGCGGGCATCGCACAGCAAACGCTGTGCCTTGTCCAGAAATCGGGTGTACTCGATGAAATGTTCCAACTGATCCATGTTTTTGGCTCGTTGCAGTTTGATCTTGGCATTGAGTGGAACCGGCACCAGATCGTTGTCCTTTTGCAGGGGCAGAGCAAAAATGCGATCGATTTCAACACAGCCCAAAAGACGCATCTCGGGAACGAAGGGCTGTTTCAAACCCTTCGGTACGCTACCGTGAACTAATCTGTTGCGGAGGGAAAGCGAGAGAGAGAGAGAGAAAATTAGTGAGGTTAGATTTTTACATAGGTTAGTACTATTTACAACTATTCCCTAACTAAAAGTGTGATCCTTATACCAAAATTCACAATTTTAGCCATTTTGTTGTTTTCTACTAACGAAATTTAGTACCGTTTAGTACTTTTCGTACACTATAAAACGCGAATTTCGAAATCCACCTCCATATCTAAATGATACACACTGACAGCGACCCTTTAGCAAAATTCATAATTCCAGTTCTATTCCAACACTCTATGCCAAAATAAGTACCATTTAGTACTTTTCGTACATATTACAGTACACATTTTCCAAGAAATTCCCTTTTTTAATCGCTACACAACCACAGTAATCCTTATACCACAATTCGTAATTCCAGTTCTATTTTTACACTCTATGCCACATTTGGTACCATTTTGTACTTTTCGTACACTTTTACTTACGGATTTCTAAGTGTACCTCCATATCTAATTGCTACACATTCACAGTAATCTCTATACCAAAATTCATATTTTCAGTTCTATTCCTACTCTCTACGCCACATTTGGTACCATTTAGTACTTTTCGCACACGTTGTAGTACATATTTCAACATTAATCTTCTTATCTTAACGCTAAACACTCACGGGAATTCTGACATCAAATTCATAAGTCCAGCTCTATTGCCACATACTATACCAAATTTAGTACCATTTTGTACTTCTCGTATACGTTATAGTACATATTTCCCAATAAACTTCTTTATCTAAATGCTACACACCCACAGTGATCCCTATACCAGTACTCACAATTCATACTTCTTTCTTACACTAATTTTGTTCCATTAAGAACTTTTCGTACATTATAGTACATATTTAAAATTTCACCACGCTACTCACTCATAGTGATGCTAATATCAAAATTCACAATTCTATAAACCTTTTGGTTTATTCGGTCAACCCCCACTACTGACCCCTCATTTCAAATTTCAATTTTGGCCCTATCAGTTGGCCATTCGCACAAATAGTTCCTTTCAGTACTTTTCGTTAGCTTCTAGTACGAATTTCCAAAGCGAAGCCTTATCTTGCACCTCCATCACAAGGTATATCCGATTTTAAGATATCCTTAAATTATTAAAAAAATATGCTCTCACTTACCTCACAACTATAGGCATACGCTTTAGCAGCAGATTCTTCACCGTATGCACCCCACTAATGCTATCCTCCTTAGCAATGGGTGAAAATTTCGCTTTGGTATCGAGTGGCAAATTGATGATCTCATCCTTGATGTTTCGGCACTGCAGAACCTTGCCATTGTCGTTCATGGTCGTCAGCAGTTCACCGGCATGGATGGTCCGATTCATTGTCGGACAACGAAATGTTTCACGCACCAATACCCGACAGTTGCGACGTTTCGATAGCTCCAACACCGATTCAATGCATCGTGTCGAACGGCCATCTTCGCTGAGCAGTTCAAAGAAACCCGGATAGGTTTCGGGTATGAGAACTTTAGCACCAACATTGGTCGGTTTGCGACCCTCCTTCAATTTGATGGGTTGTGCTAGAATTTGATACTTTTTGCCAGAGCTCAGAAACAGGGCTGTGCTCTGGAGCGAGGGTGCCGATAGCGTGGGTACGCCCAGATTTTGATGTTGCCCCTTGACAATTTTCGCCACAGCCGGTAGTTTTTGTTTGGAAAAGTCACGCAAATAGACCGGCGGCGCTGTTGCCGTATCCCCGAAACGGGATGCGGCCAATATTATTTGGCCATCGGTAGCGGCCATATCGCGATTAAAGAATGATAACAGTTTGTTTCGCGCAAAGTTAACATTAAATGTGGTGAGTAAATTTCATGGATTTTGTGTAGGTTCAGAGTCCGCAGCAGCACAGGCCGGGGGTACTGCAGCGGTTACTACAGCGGCGGTGGCAGTGGCAGCGGAGACGGAATAGCTATGATGTGTTGTTTCTTCAAGACTATTGGCGTTCAGGAGATCTCCGTTTGTGGGGGATTGGGCACTACTGCTGGAACCGGGTAGGGGAATGGGGAACTGGGGATTATGGCTGTTGGCGGCAGTTGAGGTTAGGAAACGAGAGGATGTTTGTATGGCGTAGTTGAAATACTGCATTCGGTTTGAATCTCAGTTAACAGTTGAATTATTATTTTTGTGCAAGTGATTGCCTTCTTTTTGTTGATTGTATTGTTTTAGTTGATAGGGTGGTTGTAGATATCCTGGAAAGAAAATAAACAAAAAAGAATTATTAAATTAAATATATACTTTTCTTGTAATCAATAAAATTTAAATTAGTTCACTTCAAAAGAAAATATTGTTGGAGGAACGATGGATGCACAGAAGCAAAAAATCCAATTTAGATTGGCGACAATTCTTCAATATATATGAGATTTTGTTTGATTTATAGTAGTGGCTTTAAAAACATACGTACTTTAAAGAGTATTCGAGTAGGATCTGCTCGATTGGTACAATTCTTGCCAAATTCTGGCTGTCTGACTTGCGGAGTTTTAAGAACTATCATCATGTTTTGCCATTACCACTAACGGTATCTGTTCTCATAAACTTATTTAATAGATTTGCCATTACAAAAAGTAAGAGAATAAAGCACGTAAGACCCCTCTGACAAATATCTTTCCGTTCACTGATCGATTCTCTTTATTTGATTGAAATTTTATTGTTCGTTTTATTCTGAATGAGTAATAAAATTGTCACTCGATTACGATTTCATTATTTACATTACGGCGCCAGGAAAGTAATTTGTTTTTAATTTTTATTTCATCGATCGGGGAATATTCGATGTCCGACAGTCGGAAAAAATTAATTAACACCTGCCATGCGTTGACAAGTAGTAAAGATTCTGTTGCACTTAATTTCAAAAACAAATGCGAATTTTAATTAGTTGAATAAAGATTGATATATCAAGTATGCCATGACTTCATAACGCAAGTCCCAGTTTGTGTGGATGAAAAAAAAAAATCAGCTGTGTTGTTAAATTATTAAAAAAAGTATATTCCGGAAAATAAAATTTAATTTTATTTCAGTTCGAAATGAAAATTTAAATTTGGACGGAAGAAAACAGCAACATCAGCAGAAATGGTTCGAAAAGTAAAGAAACGACTTGATCGAAACCTGCGTCACAGTGGCCGAAAAATGGCTCGTGAGCTGAACACATCGCAATATTCCATTCGGCAAATATTGAAAAACAAGCTCGGGGTAAATCCATTGAAATTCCAAAAAGTGCAAGAACTTACACCACAACAGAAAGGAAATAGACTCAAAAAAGCTAAAGAGTTGCTTCGCTTGGCCGAAAGTGGTGGACTGCCGAATTTGGTTTTCTCCGATGAGAAAGCATTCGTTGTCCGGCAATTTGTAAACAAACAAAAAGATCGTGTTTACTTGCCAAAGAGGTCAGCTGAAAATGTGCACCTTCTATTGGCCACCAGAACTTAAGCGCCGGTCATTGTGATGGCGTGGGCAGCCGATAGTCGCTCTCCGCTCGTATTAATCGACCGTGGCATCAGAATATATGGCGAAAACATTCTGAAAGGTATATTCAAGCCTTGGGCACGCAAACGTTTTGGTCGCAGACCTTGGACATTTCAACAGGACTCAGCACCATTGCACTCAGCACGCGCCACCAAAGAATGGTTACAAAATGAGGTTCCTCGCTTCATTTCCAGCGCACAATGGCCACCAAAATCTCCCGATACCAATCCGTTGGACTATTGTGTCTGGAGTATTTCGGAAAGCAAGGTTGGCACAAAAAAAAAAAAATGACAAAGTGTCGATCACCTCAAGCAAGCGCTTCGCCGGGAATGGGCCAAAATATCGCAGAGCTACATTCGGGCAGCGTGTGACGGTTTCATTTGCCGTTTGAAGGCTATAATTCGTCCAAAGCAAATTGAACAAATCTAAACTTATTCTAAAATTTGATGCTATTTCCGACATTTCATTTGCTTTTATTCAATAACATTAAAAAAAAAAGTAAAAATTATGACGTTTGACTATGTTGCAGTTTTTGTATCTCACCCTATCCAACATTATTATCTCCAACATTATTATCTGATGAAACATGAAACAATTCGCTCGACTATGTCCAGTAACTCAGATTACATATCTCTAATAAAGTGAAGGAATTAACTAATATGTATAGTCCAAACCTGGCACATCGCAATATTTATATCATATTTATTTAGGTCAGATACGAAATGCACAATATTGGTCCATACCATCGGAACCTTCTCCATAGAGGGTTAACAATTTGAATAACCATAAAAAAAGTCAGAATATATTTAAGTAATCGAACATTGGCTGAGAGTATACATCTGTCAGCAAAACCGATCGATACTCTTTAACTTGTTATACCTTACAACACTTTATGTTGGGATGGGGCCATAAATTTGTAACATCTTGAAATACTAGTCCTGCAAATAGAGTGTTATATGTGAATCTACCTATCTCGCCGAACTGAGGCGATCTACCTATGTGAGTCCGTCTATCCATGTTAAATTGTAATAATGCAACCGGTTGCAATCATGGCCCGATCTTCACGAAATTTTGCATGGAGGTGGGTTTAAGGTCAGTTTAGAAGCCTATTGTTGGAGGAGATGATAGCAAAATATGTAGGACCAAAAACAGAAACATTTTCTTGATTGCTCTAGAGGTCACAATTATAGACCAATCGATCTTTTTTTCACGGCGCTAGAGTTTAGGGCTGGGCAAAAGCCTACCAATTATCGAATAATATTAAGCGGGTAAAATAGACAATAACTTTTGTGTTAAAATAGAAACCTTTCGAACCTTTCCGCAGTTACAAATTTCAAGGCTTGCTATCTTTGTGAACCTTTTTTTAAGAAATGAAGGCATTTCAAAAATGATTAATTTTCCATTACATCCCAGTATCCCTCAATCGGCCATCATCATCATCTTTGGATATTTATGACAACGTCACATTTTTGCTGTCGACATTTTTATGATGATGTTTTTCGAATTTATTTGTAACAAATATGAAATGACTTTTATTTGCCATCATTGCCTTGCGACCATAATAAATCGCACGGACGTGAGGCATACCATCACTGTGAGAGCCTGCCTGTCATCCGAGTGAACTGGCCAGCCAGTCCAGTCTAAATCATGAAACATGATTTAGAAATGCAAGCCAAGCGATGAGCTGACTCGTTGGTCAGGCTATAAAATGGAACATTGGCGAGTCGAGTGTCTGGTTATTTGTTACTATTCCCATTTACAATTCTATTCGTTAGTGTTAAATATCTTTTTTCGGGGTCTTCCATGGCAGCAGCAACATGGCACCATAACATCATCGGGCCTCTAAGCGACCGAGTGAGTGTGTTTGTGTGTAAGCCCGGTTTGAGGCATGTTATGTTATTATTTTCTCGTTTTCAACATTGCCATCATTCGTATCATCTTCGTTTTCCTCACTATCTTCGGGATGTATGATGATGATGATGATAGTATTTAAGTTTGATACAACAACCAACCACTTTACCCCTCCAATTTTTGGGGAAATGGAAGATGATCTGCAACTTTACACAGCTTCATGTTAGTGATGATGTTGTTGCTGCTGCTGATGATGATAATGTTGTTGCGGGAACGTGTCTGCTGTTTATTGTCCCAAATTTGACATTCGCAGCAGCACATCCGACCAATTAGAAAAAATGTTTGACATGACGACTGTATTTAAGATTCGATCACATTCTAAACTAAACGTTATAAAATGTGCTGCGTCCAGCTCGTCAGTGTATCTCAAATCTCCAAACATTTCATGCAGTGAAATCTTTGAAGAAAACCAAAACAGAAAACAGTTATGATTTGATTTGATTGGTCTAATTTTGTTTTGATCAAACTATTGGTGGTGGTCTACTTTGGACGAGGTCACACTTTAAAGAATAACCAAAACTAAAGACATGAATTTGTGACATTGGCAGCACTAGAGTGAGTTAACATTTGTTATCCAATTAGTTTCAGCTGAAATATTATTTTATCAGAAATTCGGTTTATTTTTTTTTCTTCGATAACAAGGTCAATTTTTGTGTAAGAAATTCCAAACAATAAGGACGTCATAATTTCAAGTATTTGGAGCTGTTTGTAGTTGCAAATCATGATTTTTTTTGTGAAAATGGAAAACCGTAATAGCTTTTATTTATAATGTTTCGTGATGGACGATTATTTATGTAAAAAAATAAAACAAGTTTTAAGTCCCGAAATGTAGTTAGGTCTTCTATACCCTCCACCATTTGCTGACATAGGATACGTCTGTTCTTTTTAAAACTCGAAATAGGGGTTCGCATAGCCCCCAAAAAAACCACCCAATTTAATTGGAAATATGTTGTTAATTGGAATATGTTGAAATATGTTGTTGTGGAAATATGTCGTGGCTAACGACGTTGTTCTGTTGATTTAAGATCTAAGGAGCTCTTGTTAAACCATCAAGATGGGCAACGTCTTATGTGTAAACCCGTCTAAAACAGAAGTCGCACTCTTCATGATGAAACGATGCTTCTCAGAATTTTCTCCACCAATACAAGTTGGAGTCTATTCTGGGTATTTTTCAACCATCAACTAAATTGGATGAGAAATATCGACGCCTCGCACTTTTGTTCTTACAAGAACTCTATAGGTAAGAGCAGATGGCATATAATTAAATGGATATATAAGAATATCATCCGTCCGATTCTTACCTAAGGAGCTCTCGTTTTGGGGCACTCGTTATGGAAATCGTCTTACAAACGAAACAATAATAAACTTCAAAGAGCCGCATAATTATTGGCCACAGGTACATTTCGGATTACACCCCAAGCTGCATTAGATACCCTACTTCACTTTAATCTCTAAAGACTATTTATAGAGGAACAGACAGTCAGGCACGCCCTGACATTAAGAGAACTTAAACAATGGTACAACCAGCCCTTTGGCATAGAAACGGATGTAGAGGTTTTCTTCGAAAGCATGGCCATCAGAAACTCCGTCGAACTTAACAACAGCTGTGGCGTATTCTAGGCTGAAATATTTGCTATCAAAAAAAGCATAGATATGTTGACAATTAGAAGCAGAATGGTCCGGTGATGATATAGGCTGATAGTCAAGTTAAATGGCTATTAAATCTATAACAGTTTTGGAGAGTAGGAACACATTGGTAAGAGTTATGTCGATCATCAAGCTTTATTGGGTCCCAGGCCATTGCAACAATTCTGGTAATGAA